TTTGAGGGTCTGATAGCAGGTTAGATAATGAAGAGATACAATTGTCATAATTTTGTAATAGGAAGAGTATTTTCTCACTTTTAGTTCTGATGCATACCACTTTTTAGCATTCACCTTTCTCTGTACTGGGTCTTAAAAAGTGTTTTGGCTACAAGCTATTGAGTACCCTAATGCCAAATCCTGTCAAAGTTTGTGAGACTTCAGGAGATTTCCATGACACATGGATTACACTGTAGTAGCAGAAGGAAGAGCTTTAAGTTTATCAGACTTGACTGATTCCTGAAGAAAATCATTTTCTGTAGTAAATTATGTAAATAAAGTAAATTATACAGGGCATATAGTGATATAGATATAGACAACTGCAAAGTTTTCTTCAGGAAGGTTTTTGCAGTCTTACCCTTCCAGACTTAAGATCATCTGTTGATATTAAAATGGTAACAGAGGAGACTCAAATAACTCAACAGTAATCTTAAAAACCAAAATTGAAAGGACTTGACCATCGATGTTTTTAATTTTAATTCAGCTGGTTTAAGCCAAAGAAGTTCAACCTAGAAGTAGAATGTATATTTCCAATGATGCCAGTTAATCTCTTTAGAAGYGTACTGTTTTGATGGCTTTGCTAGCATTGGAAAAAATTTAAATCCTKTTGGGAGGCTTCTCTGAAGATTCTTTAGTTCAAAAGTACTTAATAAATTTAAAGCAGGAGTTAATAGATCAGAATGCCAAGAACTGTATCTGTGTTAGACAGTGAGACTGTCTTGGCATTTAAAATGGAAAAAGGTGATCTTTTAAAATGTTTTCATTATTAAGTTTATTATAGTGAGATAACTAAATTTTCCTGTTTATTTCCTCTGCAGTTTCTAGAATCATCAGCAAATATGTTTGCTGCAGCACAGCAGTTATCTCAAAATATTAATCCGGGTGAGTTTTTTGTGTTACTGTGCTTGTTGCCATGGCAGCAGAATGCTCACTACAGTCCCAAAGTAGGATGCTGCCAGGAAAACTCCTAGCACTGGARCATCACTTGCATAAGGGCTTTGGGTTTTGCTTTGTCAAAAGCAAGGCTTRGTTGAAATTTACCTCATAACCCAAGAGACACGTACTTCATATTTGTCAGTAATTCACTAAAATTTGTTTAAAACATTTAGAAAAGGTTCTCTTTACTTGTCTCCATGTCATGCTTGCAGACTGTGCTAAAGCCTAGATGGTGGCAGCTTGGAGCATTATCCAGCTTCCCAGGGACCTTGACTCTGTAGACACTTCTGCTATAGCTCGAGAGCCTGAGTTCTCTAGATATCTGGAACTACACTGCTTTAAGGATGGAATTTACCGCCTACCTGCCCTTTGCTGTCCTGTAAGGTCACGAGCTGCTGGAATTTTCCAGAAAAGCTGGAAGACTGCTTGCCTTGTGTCTGACCAAGATTGCTTTGTGATAATTAAAAGCTTGTCTTGGTGGCACCCTTATTTTTTATAAGTTCTTGTTGAAGTACTCCAGGAAGTGGACAGTCTGGGATTTACACCCCACAGCTGCTTTGCCACAGGTGGCCAGACTATCAGAATATTCTGAGGGRGAGCAGCATCCAGTCCTGTTGAACTAGATTGGGATGCAGCAGCAATCAGCTCCTTAGGATTAGGGAGCTGGCAAGAGAAAAGGCCCATAGCATCCATCACCTCTTTTTGTAAAAAGATGAATCCCTGTCAATTTGGGGCCTGTCTGCAGAAGTGTGTTCTGCATACCTCTGTCACCATTGGGGCCTGCATTCCTGAATGTAATTACAGTGATTTTATGTGTAATTAAAACATGACAGATGTATAACTTACAGATGTATAACAGAGTGTACCTTTAGAGGGATGTATCTGACTCTGGGARCAACTTGGATCAAGTGGCATGTCTCCAGAAATGGTTGGTGCTGAAGAACTCAGCACTGCTGAGTGCTGAGTGCTGTCTGATGTTTCAGACTAATTTAGTTTCTTAAAGAAATAACCCATTTGAGGCAATCCAGGATCGTTTTCTGATGAAAGCCAAGCCTGTTAAAGTGGGGGCAACAGGGGAAAGCCTACAGATGGACCCACAGGTACCTGCTTCTGGAGGAAAAGATAWGAGCTCTATTTCACTGCAGCAGCTRGTGCTCTATTGAGCAGTATTTAACCCCTAGGCATGAAAGACAAGGCCATGATTAAGTCTGTTTGGTGTTTCTATGACTGATGTATGGTGGGGCTCATCTGTGCTGTGTGTGTTACCACCTCCTCCCCACCATTATTCTCAACGGTGTCACACAGTATTTTTTTTCTTGCCACTGGTAACTGCACCTTAATGCTAAGTCACAGCATTCTATTTGATTAAGAGTTCATTTCCTTAGGAATACTCCTTTTCCCATAATACCCAYAGGGCAAACAACAAAATAGTGGGTTGTGCCTTTTAAATGGATTACTCTGAACTTACGGGAATTTTAAATGTTCTTTGTTCTCAGAAACAGCGCAGCTGCTTTTGATCGTATCTGATGGAAGAGGCCTTTTCTTGGAAGGCAAGGAACGAGTGACAGCAGCAGTTCAAGCAGCTCGGAATGCCAATATCTTTGTTATTTTTGTTGTRTTGGACAATCCTAATTCCCGGGTAAGTGAACAAGGGAGGAGTATTCAACTGCAGTGAATAAGAAACAGATACAAATCTTTTTCTTGTCTTTTGTAGTGCCATACAGCTACCTTATCTTTTGTAGAGGTCAGAGGTACTGAACCCAATTTCAGTTTTTCACGTCTGTCAGAGCTACCATTTCTTCCTACTGTGCTTATCTTTTGTATTTAAAAACTCAGCTTCCATGCCACAGAAAGGCTAAGTGAGAGCTCCCATCTTCAAACATAATGGTTGTAGCTCTCGGCCACCAGGGAGGCAGCTGGCAGGTTGACAAATTTGGAGTTGGAGAGATGCTTTGTTYCATCTCAGCACTGATTCAACTTGATAATTTCTGACAGCAGTCTCCAATTGACATGACAGCTGGAGCCAGTATGAGATGAAACATTAGACAGAAGGGAGTATGTGAGAGTTGTTTAATGCCTCAGTCGGGAAAGATGAGTCCTGCATCTGGTAATGGGGGAAGAAAAGTGTTAGATATCCTTGGATGGGTAGCTGAAGTATCTGGGAGCTTTTCAGGGAGACTGTAGTGCAGTTAGTGAGCAAACTTCAGAGTTAAATTGAATTACATGGTGAAGACTCTAATTTTCTAGTTCACGTGTTCTTATGTCTTTATTTTTGCATACAAAACTCATCTCCTGTATTTATTGTTGAAAAACTAAATGTTCTCCTGTTGACAGACTGCTAAAAGATTCTGATGAAACCTGACTGTAGTATCAAAGGAAAATTCTGGGTGTTTCCGTAAGCTTTTTTTTTCTGGGGCAAAACAGTGTTTTCCATAATCTTTAGTAATTTTCTGAGCTGCTACACTGAGCAACTAAGAAGTTACTTTAGAACAAGCACAGCTGGAGTTTAATCTGATTTTTGTCTTTGTAGTATTTGTTGAAATACTAGAATCTTCTATTAGAGCACTGCACAAATACAAGTTGAACTCAGCACTAAAGAGCTTACAGACTCTTGGGAAGGCATCAAATTAATAAAACTGAAGTGCCAACAGTAAACTCAAATCATAAAATGCTAAGAAAAGAGAATTTATTTACACAACTCAGTATTGCAGAAGCTTAAGCTTCATCTCTTSTAACCTATAATTCATGGATTAGTACACTTTTATCTAAAAGGGCAAAGGCATTTAACTGATTTATGYTTAGCTTCTGATCTGATTTACCATTGAACACTAACAGCTTTTAATCTTAAAAGTATTTTATTAACTTTTAATCTTAACAGGGGAGAATTCTAAGTATTTGAAAAATAGGATAAAATCTACCAGGTATCATAAAATATGTAGTAACATCAATACTTTTTTACAGGATTCTATTTTGGACATTAAAGTACCTATATTCAAGGGACCTGGAGAGCTGCCTGAAATCAGGTCTTACATGGAAGAATTCCCGTTCCCATTCTACATGATCCTTAGAGATGTGAAYGCGCTCCCAGAAACTCTGAGCGACGCCCTCCGACAGTGGTTTGAACTGGTGACTGCCTCCGACACTTTTTAAACTGTAGGGAAGGTCAGGACCCGACTGCTGCTGCTGAACCGCTGGAATACAAGAGACTGCATTTCACAGGAAAGGTCATAAAGTTCTTCCTAACCAGGATTATCCTGTGGGAGCTGCCCTGGAGCAGAGACTGTGTAAGAACAGAATGGTTTGGGTGCATCCTCCCACGTGTGTCAGAGGACTATTATTATGAGACTGTCTCCTGTTATTCCCACAACTAATGTAAAACTTGTCTCAATTTCTCTTGTAATAACTTATTACTTAAAAAAAAAAAAAAGAACCATTTGTAATATTACAGAGGTAAAATTATTCCTGCCACTCTCTACCTGCCGTAAGTAAAAGTCTTGCTCCTGGGAAGGCATTTCTGCAGTAGAAGTTCAGGTGTCTTGCAAATAAAGCCTTCTTTAACCTTCTTTAACCTCACCCATGTGGACGTGCCTCTGGGAAGCAGTGGGAAGCAGATGGTGTCAGACAACCAAAAAAACCAACAAAAAAGTACTTGAATACTTCRAACTATTCTGCAGTTTTAACACATCCTTTTTAATTATTGCTGATTTTTGGCTGACGATACCAGCAGGGAGTTTTGCGAATCATGCCCTATGCTGATCCCTGCGTTACCAGTTTGCACTGTGAAGTTTGCCCGTCCGAGGCAGGCGTTGGGGATGTTTCATAAATCCGGTCTCTTGGAGCACGGGCGTGATTCTTCACTGCAAAGGCTATGCATCTTGTATCGTCTGTACTAATAAAGASAGGTTCCGCTCTTTGTAATTCCGGGTCCGTGCCTTGAATTGATCGAAGTTGAAACGCACAGATTCCGAAGGATCCCGGCAGGGCGCAGGAAATGGCGGCCTTGGCCCCGCCCGCGCGGGGTGGGCTGGGCGGCCCCGTGGAGCGGCATGGGCGGAGCTGCGTCATGGCCGCCGGGCGCCTCCCGCCGGGCGCGCTCACCCTCAAGCAGGTACGGGCGGGCGAGGGGGGTTTAGGCGAGCTGTGCGGTGTGGAAACGGTGGGGAGCTCGGTGGGTGTTTAAATATCCCTCTAAGCAGAGGTGCCGAGGGTGCAGCTCGCAGCACCGTCCTGGGGCAGCGGGCAGACTTCCCTCTCTCCGTGCCAGTTCCTGAGGCGGCAGCAGGTCCTTGAGTTGTACCGCAAGATCCTCCGTGCTATCCGGGAGGTCCCTGCTGAACAGGATCGCCGCTACTTAAAGGACTGGGCCAGGGAGGAATTCAGGAGAAATAAGGATGCTACAGACGAGGTGAGGATGGGGAGCTTGCAATCCTCATCGCCTGCCCTCGGGAATGGTCAATGCCSTGCCCTGTCCTGTGTCTTGGGTGTTGGTTTTGTAGGTGTCGCTTCCATACCGGTGAGGAGTCTCCTGTCCTCTGCTTCCTAATTCGTTCCTTTTTCTGGCCAGAGCCCAAGCAATTGGTGGCTGAATAACGCAGACAAAGCCTTAGAGTCCTTAGGTAATGTTGAGAGAARCACGCACCTGCTCTGTAAAACCCATCTCCATCATGCCTGTGTGCAGTTCTCGCTACTGACTTGCAAAGGCAGTGGACACAGAGGCATAAAGAAAACATTATTAGGAGTTGGAATCCTGTTAAAAACTGAGTTCTAAAGCAAAGCCACGACTCATCATTAAGGAACTGGAGAAATTAATCTATTTCTTTACCTGGTTTTTAACCGTCTCAGAGACTGTTACATTACATCACACAAAGAAGTAGATGACAATAGTGCCAGTAAGAATTGTATGTATTTTCATGTGTTAGAAGTCTGTGTGCTTGTGTAAAACCTGTGCTGTGTACAGGTGTTGAGTTCACTAGATTCCATTCTGTTTTACAGGATGCAATCAGGATGATGATTACTCAAGGCAACATGCAACTTAAGGAACTTCAGAGAACACTTAAGCTGGCAAAATCCTGATCTTAATTTTGTTGACAGCCGGGATTTTCTGCAATATTGCAATGTTGACAGTTCGGGATCTGCTGCAAATAAGCACAGTGTTTTTTTTTTCCAGAATCTGGTTATAATGGCAGCCTTTGCTGGCATCCAGGTAATATTTGAAGGAGGAATTTACCACAAAGGGATGGTTTTTCCCTYTCACTATCTGCTTCTCCATTTGTCTACCCTCAGAAGTGGAAATCACTTGGACACAAAGAACTTTAAAGAACTGCATGGATGATGTAGAATGTGGTGCAGGAGAAGCAGAAAGCACCAAAAATTACAACTCTGTTTATGCCAGTGAAATGGAAAATAAATACATGGATTATTATGTCTGCTTTTTACTGTGGTAACTGTAAGTGGTAATATTCACAATGACTGYTCTTCATGTACTGTGCCAGGATTTTCACCAAAATTTGTGATTAAAAAAAAAWTAGGATAAATAAATGGGTGCAGAACAAACAAGCATTTAAAGGAAATCATTTTGTATGTAGATGCTAATTTTCAATAGTAACTGAAAAAAAACTTAAAAGGGCGGGTCTTTATATATGAAAATGGGAGATTTTAGTCCCAGAGTAATTTATTAACAACTCTAAGTGAAGTACCTTCAAGCTACTGTTTTAAAATCAATATGAAATAGAATTACAGGTAGAAAATACTAACTGCAAATGTTGTGGTTTGTTTATCCAAATATTCTGCTACTCTACTTCTAATTGTTGGATTCCTTGAGCTCCAGTGTATTATTTTTTTCCATGCAATTGAAGAATGCCTGGATGAGCTGGGGGTTTTCTCCACATAACTAGACTGGCAGCAGTAGATAGATGCCTCAGTATTTTAGGYTGTGATTCCAAGACATGCAGGAACTCTTCCCTCTCCCATTCTGCKATTATAGTTCCCTAAGGGAGCCACTCCTGCTTTCCAAGGTGGTTTTCTTTTGAGCTGGACAGAYTGGCAGCAAATCCTGTAAATAGGTGTCAAAGAAGGGCACCTTGGAAGGGATGGGACAGTACTCCAGGCTCTAGGAGGAATGAGAGCTTCCAGCTGGAAGCAGGAACTATGGTTCAGATTTGTATAGACTGAAGCTTCTGAGCTTCAGTCAGTGAAAAATACGTATGTAAAAATGCTTCATCAAAAATTTACATTTTAACATTTTCTGTTAGAACACATTAGGTGTGTTGGGGATTGACTTTTCATGTTAGGTGAAGGTGCTTCTTAGAAAGGAATTCTGTCTGAGCAAGCCATAACCAGTTATCACAACAGCCTTCCCTTTCCTTTCAGCCAGTGCTTGGATTTCTGCTCCTGGCTTTACCCTGCTGCCTCATTGCAGTGCCTTCCTTTGGAGCCCTCAGCCTGCATTACTCCTTTGACTCCCAGTTTGTACATTTCCAGGTTGCAGGCACATAATCCCAAGCTAGAATTGACAGGCAGGGTCCTGGACAGATGCTGACCTCTTGAGTGCCGCTGCTCTTAATTCCACTGCTCTGGGCTTGCCAAGATAAAGTTGCCAGCCAGAAGCCTTATGGTGTCCAAGCACAGCCTACAAGGGTAAGTAAATAGAACTGCAGAGAAAGGTAGATAGATTATACATGTATTTTGTAAAATCCTTCAGAGTTTTGAAGGGAGTGGTATAGAAAGGAATTAGCAGAAAATGCTTCCCTTTCTTTTACTGTACCCTCATTTACTTCAGAGAACCTCTAAAATCAGTAACCTGCAGTCAGGTTACTGTCTTAAATTATTTGGTAATTACGGGGATTTACTTAAATTACTTGAATCTGTGACTTTGGTAGTGTGGTCCGTATGTGAAGTGGACAAGCTAAAGCCACAGCCTCTCTCTTGGGCAAGCTGAGGAGCGTGTGTGTGATCCATGCACAACTCAGCCCTGTGCCTGTAAATTCTGAYATGGGTGCCTGCACCAGCCAGCAGGCAGCACTCAGTCCCTGCAGCCTCCCTCAGGACAGATGGCAGACTCCATTTCCATGTTTTATAACCACAAACAAAAAGCTTAGAAGTCTTGAGTCCAATTTTCYGCTTCCCCTTCTGAGTCAAGTGAGAGGACTGACAGTTTTCTCTGGCTAGAAAATTACACCACAGATTTCTGAGCAACGCTTACTTTAATTGCTTGGCAAAACATTAACTTCATCCAGGTGATACAAAACTTCAATAGCATGCTTGTGCATTCCTACTGTAGCTTAAACAAAACTGTAAACATACCAAAGTGTCTATATTAGACTACAGAAATCAGAGCAATAAAACTAGTACTTCCATAGCTGCACATACACTTCTCTTGTCTTGATAGTGCATTAATAGGGAATTTGAAAATACTGTTATACAGTATGACTTTTTTGCTTTATACACCTGCTAAGAAGACAAAAGCTTAATTACTAATTAGTGAATGGCATCTTCAACACTGTAAAATATTTTGTATTGATTTTAGAGCTCCTCAGTACAGAAAAAACGTATTTTTCTCCTTGGCATAACAGTACCATCCTGTRTTAGAACTGATTTTGAACAACTATTCTATCATGATTTGGTAGGTAAACTTACTTTTCTAACAGAATCTTAGGGAGRGTTCTCAGAGGTATAAAGAGGAAACCCTAAAGGGTGCAGATGAATTGAGTTACAGTGCCTCTAGATTATCTGGAGTCTGTCAGCATGGATGACACTGGTCAATGAAAGTTTCGATTTTATAGCAAAACACATTGRTAAAAGCTTTAGAATGTTGAGTTCTGTTTTGTGGGACTATTCGTCCTAAAACCTGTAGACACAGCAGGGCCTGGTCTCCTTTTTAGAGATACAAGGGAAAAAAACAGAGAGGAATCATTCAGAGGAACAAAGGCACACAGTCTGAACAAGGTGCTGGGAAAAAAATCCCAACTGCAGAAAAAGAAACATTTGAATACAGGGAGCCAAGCTTTTACTTTCTTAGATAAAGGACTTTTSCAAGCTTCTTCAGTAGTAGACAATTCAGCCATTTGCTACTTGAAGGAAAAGAGATTTATATAATATTTACACCTGACAAATAAGACCCTTGTTACAGTCAAATATTTGCCATCCATGCCCTAAACAAAGCTTCTCAGTCAAATTACTGGAGTACAGCCCCAACATTAGTGTAACCACAAGGAGCTCTGCAACCAGGACACCATTAAAAAAGAGAAATCTGATTTAGCACTTGAGTAATGGAAAACCAAGAGAAAAGTGAAGTGGTAGCTGAAGCCTCTGTACCTAACGTGGTGAGTCACCTTAGCCTYTCCCTCCTTGGTTGCCTGCCCCTCTTCCAGCTGGAAGTCTGCATCTGACACCTGCCTGGGYTTGTAATTGGAGTGTGTTCTTTAGCTTCTCTCCACTGACTAGAGAAAGGCCCTGGGAGTATCTAAAATAGGATCAATAGCTCTTCATCGCTAAGTAATTCTGTCAAAAGCTTTCACACATCCTGGATTTATTTCAGTACTGGTATCACAACATGTTTACATGTAGCTGACAGTGGAACCATCTAGCCTGTGTCCTGTGTGGAAGTAAGGAAATTCCCTTTTCAGAAAGCAGTTTTGGTTACTAATGCAGTTTTGGYTTCAAGCAGTATCTGGAAACTGAGTGTGCAATATTAACAGACTCTTGGAATAACAAAGAAAGGATCTAAGCTGCAGCATCTTGTCGGTATCAATAGAGTTTGCATATGAACTCTCCTCAGTTATGGAGTTTCCAAAGTTATTTCTACTCCTGAAAAAGAGTGTTTTGTTTGGATGTAACAGGCACTACGMCTATCTATCAATATTCCAGATTGCYATACAGCAGGTTCCAAAATGAGTCCTGTTGCTTGACTACCTGCTTGGCAGGTGCTAGCTCTCTTTCTGCACCTTAGTCCTTAATTTGCTGAGCTCCTCTTCTAAGCATTTGATGTGCTCCTTGAGCGCAGCTTTGTCTTGCTGCGCTCTCTGATTYGCTTGGCACCGGGCTTCTTCAATCTTCCGCTCGTACCACTTCTCCATCTGCGTGGAAACAGCCTCGAAGAAGTACTGGGTTATCTCCAGGGCCTGGGAGGTGTCTCTGAGCGGGGGGGCAGGCAGGGCTGAGGGCTGCTGCTCCTGGCCCTGCTGTGCCCCGCTGTGGTGCAGAGTTTTGTGCCTCGACTGCCCGCTTTTGCTGGACTTTTTTGTCTGAGTTCCTCTGTCAATGAAGTAGCTGCTCTGTGGTTCAGTCTTTGCARGTTCAGGCAACGGCTGCAAAGCAGCTTGAACTTTAACGTGTCTTAATTTGGAGCCCGAAAGCTCGGAGGAGGGCAGCTCCTGCTGGAACCTGTGGAACGTGCTGGCACTCACAGCTTTGTCCTTTGGCCTGACGTCTTGAGTTGGGGCAGAAGAAGAAACTTCTCCGCCTGCTACTGCCTGTTGCTCTGTACCTATAGAATAAATTATAGACAATATATTATGAAAAGTTCTGGGCATTTGTTTTAGCATTCAGAAGTCCTCACTCTTTGATGAATGATGTGATTTTGTGTATGTATTATACAGGGTTATATTAGTTTATCCCATCTTCAGTCATTAAAAGAGAAAAGCTGGCCCAGGCACGGAAGTGCTACATTATAGCTGTGGGGCTACAGGTGCACAACAGGCAAAGGACATAAATATTAAGCAAAAATTCCTCACTGTAAGGGTGGTGAGGCACTGGCACAGGTTGCCCAGAGAAGTTGTGGATGCCTAATTCYTCAGAAGTGTGCAAGGCCAGGTAGGATGTGGCTCTGAGCCACCTGGTATAGTGGAAAGTGTCCCTACCCATGGCAGGGGGGTTGGAACTAGATGATCTTTAGTGTCCCTTCCAACCCAAACCGTTCTGTGATCTGTCACTTCATCAGAAGGACATATAACAAGCCTCAGTGTAGACTTCCAAAGTAGGGTATGTCTGCTGATATTTATCACCTCCCTCCTTCTACAAAACTCAACATCTCAGTAATTTTGGAAAGGTCACACATTTTGATGCTTTTGCACTGTTCCAATGGAKAATAGCTTACACTCAAGTATGACAAGATCTCTTATATGCTTTGTAGTTTGATGGGGCATCCATGTCTGTTGACTTTGCATAGTGTTTAGGGGACATATACATTGTATTTTACAGAAGCCAGGGTTCTCATAGCATTCTACTTGGCTGTGGAAACCTGGCCATGSTGCWTTTTTTTTTTTTCCTCAAAAGCTTCCAGAGCCAAGAGTTAGTCAAAGCACCAAAGGACTTTTGCTTCAAAGACWTAGTGGAAGCATCAGGAAAAGTTAGCAGAATTCCACCCAAACATATCTTAAAATATTCCCAGTGGCTGCCTTGAAGTGTATTGAAATCCCAAGACATTAGGCATATGGATGGGGGAAAGCACACCACCARAATTATGTGGTATTAATACAAGTACCCTTCAATTAATGAGCTGGCCCTTGAATGGATATGACATCTAAGTACCTGACATGGTTGTACCCAGTGCTCCATCTTGTT